CGTCGTCGCTGTTCAAGGCGGTTCACGCTCTCAAATCATAGAGATTTAGTGATGAGGACATTGATGACGGGTGACAGGTAATCTTATCAATCGATAAAAATTGATACGATACCATCTGCGCTAACTTCTCACCGCTTTAATGCCGAGTATTCGAGGCTCAGATCATAGCGAGACAGCCGACGGCGAGCCATGAGTATATAGTCGGCGAAAGAGTTGTCGAGGGGGGGGGGTATCCAATAACTATGCAACGTATATCCCACGGGCGTACAAAATGCATATAGTGCATATAAAACAAAAAATTAATACGACCCCCACTTTTCCACAAGAAAAAATCAACTATCAAAATAAATTTGTCTTACCCCACCCCAAATACGCCCACCCCCTCCTAGAGCAAAAGTACGACTCCCCCTCATGTGTTTCACACAAGGATGCTGTACCCTGTCTGTGTGTTGTATGGCCGTTATGGCGCGGACCGCAAGTATAAGCGTTTACTATGGAACGCAGGATCCGCAGGGTTGCTCTATCTGTTATGGTTGTACCAATACAGAGCTGTATGAGCAAGGCAGTGATTGGAAGAGTTCCGTTCCCCATTATGGAGCGCGCCTGGCGAAGCCAGGCCAGCTCGGCGAAGCCGAGCTAGAGAGAAGGAGGAGAGCTCGGCGTCAGCCGGGCGATCCGACTGGTATATACAATAAAAGACCACACTGTATGCTTCTAGGAACCCATAAATCCCTCGGCTGACTTGGAAGTCAAATAACAGATGCGCCGCGGTGCCATCATCTCGTTCGAAATCCCATTCCGCGCTGGGAAAAGCAGGCACTTCCAGTTAAACGTTTAAGCCAACCTGTGTTTGCCCTTGCTCGTGCCACATTCGCTCGCTCCGTTGTATATATGTCCAAACATAAGCTGCAACTAGTCCTGAGGTGTAATCTAAGCTCGAAGGAAATCGCAGGTGGCTGTACTGATTTTCGAGGAGCGAGCAGTAGAACGCGAAGGGTATCAGGTTTCAAATCCTCTCATCTTGAAACCTCGGCATTGTTCGGTACTGTTTTGATTGTTTGCTTCTGCTTCAAGGTTTTGAGATGGAAAGTCTAGTAGGAAACACGTGAGCCTATCTTTTTACTTTTGCACATTTATAGAGACTCTCGCTCTATTTAGCGTTGTTACATTATCATTATTGTATCATTATTGTAACCTTTATGACATTATCTTTTACTCATTCTGTTGTACGAATAGCCTTGTAAGCTCCAATATCGTTATCAGTAGGCTGATCTGAGCGATTGTATAGGTTTCTCTCACAACATTTCCTTTCTTGCCATACCAGCAAGCTCCGCCCACTTGACCAGCATAAAAGGAGCCCTGGTGAGCCGAGCTTTATAGTTTAATTCTTTCTTATTGCGGTGCTTCCAGATAAACGTTTAATTACCCAAGTTTGAGGTTTGAATCACCGACGACATATGGTGCATCGGACCTGAGCGACCCAGGACAAGTCAAGGATCGATCAAGGAGCAGAAGTCCAAGGATCGATCGAGGAGCGAACCACCAAAGGATCGGACAAGGAGTAAGCTGCCAGCGTACCGATCGAAGGATAGGACGCCAGGATTTCAAGCGAAGGAGTGAGTGTACATTCCCGCTTCGCATAAGGTCCTGTCTGCGCATGCACAACGTCCTTTGTCTGCACCACCGAGCGATTGCACCACTGCATCATTAACGATCGGACTGAGTAGTTGCACTAACATGGCCACATTGCTTTCAAGTAGGCAAGGACTTTTAACCAAATCGGTGAATAGGCTCGCCGCTGTAGTGGACGAGTACAAGGACTTAGAGGCATGGGAACTGGAACCTCCCTCTGAGGACCACGAACGTAGGACTTATCTAAGGACAGAGAGGATGAGGATTCGGAAAATCAAAGCAATCCTCGAATCAGAAACAAGCAACGTGGACACGGCTCTCGAGCGCTACAGCAGCGCTGCGGATAGCCTCGATGCCAGCACCCCGTCGCTGGATGAAATTCTCGAGAAAGTCGGCTCCAACATTGAAAGGGCTGCCGCCACACTGGACAAAGGGCGCGTAATACTGACAGCAGTGGCTCGCCTTTCAGGAGAACTAGACGAGATCGAGAAAACCTGCACCAGTAGTGACATCGCAAGCTCCCCAGACGTTCCTCAGTTGAAACTGGCACCAATCCCAATTCCCAAGTTCAGCGGACGAGCCTGGGAGTGGGATACGTTTTGGACGGCCTTCGAACATTCAGTGGATTCTCGAGAGATGGACGACATCTACAAGATGAATTATCTACTCGACGCGCTTCAGGGCGAGGCTAAGGACACCATAAAGCAGTACGAGGTATCCGGAAGGACGTACCCACTTGTTGTCGCTCGACTAAAGGAAAAGTACGGAAACACAAAGACGCTAGTAGATCAGCTGATACGTCGGCTTCAAGGTGTACGAGCCCACAGCAATCGTTGGGAACATCAGGAAAAACTTTGGGAAGAGTTGTCGTCAATCGTAGCCCAACTCCAGCTCAAGGGAGAGAATGTCGACAACAGCTTCCTCCAGAACCAGCTGCTTGCAAAATTTGCGGAAGGGGTCCAACGTCACGTCTTACGAATGAAGGAAAATCAAGCAATGGATTGCGTCTGGAGCACGAACACACTTCTCGATTGCGCACGAAACTATATAAGGACTGAGCTCTTAATCGTCAACCAGATGGGCAATAAGCCTGACCAGCAGCTGGATCGAAATCCCACAGCACACAAGAAGAGTACCTTCACAGGAAAAAGAATGGCATCAACTTCAGAACGTCAATGTCTCTGTTTCTACTGTGGGAAGATGGATCACACTCCCAAAGATTGTCGAGAGGTGGCTACACGAGAACAGAGACTCATATTCATG